AGTTTTTTTTATTTTATTGTTTTTTTTTTGTATTATTATTTAGGTTTCTATGTTGAAAAATTTATTTGATAATCCCTATTTTTATTTTTTACATCACAGTTACACACTAACACTATTGTAATTTTTTAGCTTTAATAAATTTGTTTTGCTCCGTTTTACTCTTATATGCTCTCATCTTTATAAGTTGTTAACATGTATTTGTGTACATATATATTTTTTATATATTTGTGTACATATGTATGAAATATATGTCCGTTAAATGTTATATAAATTTATATGATTTGTGTTGTATATAATTTGTTTTTGTAAATATGGAATGTTACGTATTTAAGCGTATAAGTGTTTGTAGACTTATATTTACATATATCTAAAAAATTTTGCTTAAAAGAGAAACAAAATTAGGAAAAGAGTTTAAAGAAAAAATGACTAAAAAAAGTGTTGGTTTGTTTGTCATAGAAAAATGTAGAAAAGAAATTGAAGAATAAGGAAAAAATTTAAAGAATTTTTCCAATATAAAATTTTTTTCTTTTTGTTTTTGTTTTCTCTCAAAAATAAATTATGATTTCACTTCAAATTACTTAAAAGACTTTTGCTTTCTTTTTCTACCCTTTAAACTTTTTCTTTAATTTGAAAACAACGTTTTAACACTTTTTTTTACTATCGTTATATTTTACATTTAGAAAAAATTAGAAACACTTTGTAACTTTTAAAATTTTAATTAATTTTTTCTGCCTGTCTATGATTTTTAGAGTTTTTTTGTTATATATCTTAACATTTTTAAACAATTTACATTAATTTTGAAGCTTTTCTACAAATTTTATAGTATTAAAGTTGCACACACCACATTTAAATATTAAAATCTTCTTCACTATAAATTTTTTTTTTTAAAATTCATTTTTATTTATAAAAAATATATTTTATATTTAAATTATATAAAAAACATATTTTAGATTTGTATAGAAATTTCTTGAATTTGTAGAAGTTTTGTATATTTGAAACTTTTTTATTATTTTGTTTTCCATAATTTCAAATTTCAAAAATAATTGACAAGTTCATTTGCACACACAAAAGCAGGAAAAGAAAAAAAAAAATAAAAACATGAAAAATTTCTTATGAAATTAAACGAAACTAGAAGAATTATGAATTTTTTTTTATTTTATTGTAATAATTTAACTATAAAAAAAAACTAACAAGCTTAAATTTTAAAGTTTAAAATTAATCATTCAGCAGAAAAGTCCATTTTCTTCTTCATTTTCATGTAAAAAACCCTAGTACATGGTATTATAGAACCTAGATTTTTTTTAAATTCGAAAATTAATAACTTTTTTTAATTTTATTTTAATTTTTTTATTTATTAAAAAATCTATTAAAAAATTTTGTAAAGCAACTCAATAGTTGCGAATCCACCAAATGACTAAAAAAAAATTAAATTTAGGATTGAAAATTTTTTCGTGTTATTTTTTTTATTACGAACAATCACTAACACATATTGTGCTATGAAAAACTGGGGAACAATTTTAAAAAAAAGGAAAAAAAAAAAACATTTTTTTAGTCCTTTTTACTTTTCAATTTGTTTATTTTCCTTTCCGAGGCCGCTTATTTGGTTTTTGTATTTAGCAGGGTTCTACAAAAAAGTGTTACCCACCTCATATGCAATCGATAATTACATACCAATGGCAATAACACAACATTCTAAACCAAAATTGTATTTTAATTAGTTGAATAAAAATGGCATGTGACTTATTTTACACTTATGAAAGAAACGAAAAAGTTTAGATTTTTTTCATCTTTTATGAATCTTATATAGGAAACCTATTTGCAGAAGATATCGTAAATAAGTGAAATAAAAAGTATGACATTTTTTATAAAGTTCAAAATTCAAATTTAAATTCCTGAAGTAAAGCACGCGGTAGGAGTAAAGTTTAAAATGAAGTATAAATTTTCCTTTTCTTGTAAAGTATAAATTTTCCATTAAGCGGAATTAAATTATTAAACTATGTACAGTAACACAATATTATAGTAATTTCAATAATTTTAAATTTAATAAAAATATTTTAAAATAATATGGCAATGCCAATACCAATAATTATCTAAACTCAAACAATAAATATCAATTTGAAAAGAAACTATATATAAAAAATACCAGTATACTAAACAAATAACATGATTACATGAATAAACGAATACACAAACACATAGCCATAAAAATAGCCGGATAAAATCAAAATGCTGTGAACAAAATTGAAAGAAGAATTTGCAATAAATTTGAGTGGTATAGGTGTTTTCTTATCATCTTTATACACACTGCATGAAAATATAATAATAAATACATGTGTGTGTGTATAGAGTGTATGAGCAGAGTAGCGCTGGGATGGTATGTGAGAACTGTAATTTGTGACAAAAAAACATGAAAGAAAACATACATCGAAAACATGAAGAAAGAGAGAAACAATATAAATACAAAGAAACAATATAAATACAAAAATAAGAAACAGAAAATGAAATTTTTGATTTTTCTCTTGATTTTTTTGTAGCAAAGGGAAACAAACTTTAAAAGCTTTCTGTTCTGTGCTTTATTTAGTGCAAATTAAGTGCATACACGTTTATTTCACATTTTTTGTTGTTTTTTATTTTTTATTTTGTTCTCTTTATTTATGATAAAGTTACTCTTATGAATTTTTCTGTTTTCTACTGTTAATAGAAATGAAAATTAAAAATTTTCCCTTGATGAACTAGCTGATGTCATATCCCATATATTTTAGCTTTTATAGGATACACTTAACTGTGTCAACATATTTAGAAATATAAAAATATTAAATATAAGGGACTATAATAACATTTAATGATTTATATACATACATTATTGACGTATATATGTATGTGGTTTTCAAAAACTCTTACATATTTCATTGGAATATGTTATAATAATAATAATAATAATAATAATAATAATAATAATAATAATAAACAATAAATTATATTAACAAAAATTAAATTAAAATGAAAAAAGGATATTTTTAATCGGTTATATCGCAATGAATGCTTTAATATTATATTTTGGTGAATATAAATTACATATTGACAAATGTTTAAGCAAATATATTAGTTTGTACACATAGATATATGTATATCATTTTGTATATATGTAGTTATTTTCCATTTATTTATTAATTAGTTTTGTTCACATGTGCACCTACATATATGGGAAGTTTAATGGAATGTTAAGAAAATTATATATACAGAAAAAATAGGATAACAATAAATTTTTGTATTAGGGTCTTAATATTTACATATAAAAAGCATAAGAAAGAGTAATGTAATATGCATATAGAAAGTAAATATTGACATTAGTGAAGGAATTTGAAATAAAAAATTATGTAGGTCATAGGGAAATATTTAAATTCATTCATTGAAAATACAGAAAAAAAAGAAAGTGAATCGATTATTTTTAATTTAAATTTGTATTTGAAAAAAAAATTATTTTTATTGTTTTAAGTTAAAATTCAAGTTAGCAAAAAATAGTAAATAGTATGATACTTCATACTTAACTCGCTTTATTTATTTATTTATTTACCAAAAGTACAATTTAAGAAAAATTAGAGATACCTAAGCAAACCACATATTTCTTAGATTTCCTGTATATGATATGTATATTGTATATGATACAAACCCGGATTGAACTTAATAAGAAATTCCAGAGTCAGCATGTGGTTATTCCTGGGCAAAATAAGACATGTTATCCTTCTTCATCTAAAAAATCTAAAGTACTTGTATAAGTAACCCAGACAGTGAGTTTTAATTACCTTTACCAAAAAATCAAAGATCGAAAATCAAGATAATCACATCAATCAAAATAACACATAAGTCAAGATAATATTAAAATACCACATATGAGAAACTGTAGAATATAAGGCGAAACGTTATCTCTCCTCTACAAAATGTAGACATACATAGTTATTGAATTAAATGACATCGAATTTCGCAATCATACATCATTTATGGCATTGCATTGTGCCAACCCTATACTAAGAGGGTTGGCATAATTAGATCCTTATATGCCGTCGATTATCGTCGATAATCACATTTATATTTACTTGGATTAACGGACAATCCGTTAGTAATTGACGAGGCATTTATGAGGTTCAAATCAGCGTTTAAATGTATACTTGAGTGTTAGATTGTGATAAATATATCAATAAAAAACATAGAAAATAATGAAAGCCTAGTTAGTTTAATATAACCTTAATTAACTACTTAGTTTTATATTAACTAGTTAGTTTAGCTCAAAACCAACCCTATCAAAAGCTCTAGAAAAATCGAACAACACCCTCAGTCACTAGGTTTCAATCAATATCATGGGTATTATCAGTAGAACAGGGCAGACGGGCATCTGTTTCACTATTTATAAGCCTACGGTAATCCATGAAATATCGACCTAAAGTCGCCGCTTTTCCTATCTTTGAGAATAGGCACTATTTTAGAAAATTTCCAATCTCCAAGAAACTATCTCCCTATGGGAACATGGCAGAAATTTTTCTTATACATGGGAAAAAATTTCAAATATGAGTAAGGTGACTTCTTTCATAGCTTGTTCATGTTTGGAATAACGCAGTCTCTTTAACTAACTAAATTTTAAAATAAAAAATTGCATTAAAAATCATATTTCTTACAATTCAATGAGAAAACGCATTCAAAATTATTGCGAATTTTTTCGAATAATTTGAATGCAATGCAAATGCAATTTATTCACAATATATCGCGTTTTAAAAAAATAGAGTTTTAAAAAAAAAAATAGAGTTTTAAAAAAATAAATATAAAAATTTAAAATGTAAATAAAAAAATGCAAAATAAAAAAGTGTAAAATGAAAAAACAATAATAAAAGATAATAAATATAAGCACAAGAAACAAATATATAGGAGAAGAGGAAATGTTATTAAAAAACACAAAAAAAGAAAATAAAAAAAATTAAAAGCAAAAAAAATAATTGACGCATGCTCACATTTTATCCTGGAATTATCCAATTTACTATCATGGTCACTACTACCATTTACATTTCCTATTCTTTCTCTTTCACTACCGTTAAATATATCTATTGCAAATGATTGTTCTGTTGATGACGTTGGTATTGTTATTTGTGTGGTTGTTATTGCTCCTTCTCCTATTATTGTTCCGCCTAGCTCTGTTGTTGTTGTTTGTATTCTTTTTTGATTTCGAAAACTTGCTTTACGTTTTGGACGATATCTTCGCCAAGTTTGTTGTGTTGTTCTCCTTATACGATTGCCACTATGTAATAAAAATGTTCTCACTTGTTGCAATCGTATTGATATAAATGTCATCAGCTGTGTACTAATACCATTACTACCGATTGTGTCTGTTTGATCCATTGATGCGATTGTTTTTATGTTGTATAATAAAACGGTTATTTTGTTATTTTTCTTGCAGTTGTTGTTATTGTGCTTAATAATACTGTTGTTATTATTAATATTGCTTATTTTTTTTACAATAAAGTGGATTTTTTGTATTATTTTAGGAAAGTTTCACAAAAATGAATTTTGTTGAAATGTTCACAAAAACGAATTTAAAAAACTGTTTTTTTTTTCATATTCATTGGTTTGATGGTGTAATGCAATGTGAAATTGAACTTTATGTTTTTTAATCTTTCACTTCATGCACCTTAGTATATTAAATGTCCATAAGTATTTAAATTTATTAGCACTATTTTGAGTTAAAAGAATTTTTTTTCTCTTTTAAAAGAAAATTTTTTTAATATTTACAATTTTTTTTATGTTTTTTTAAAATGCCAATTGATTTTCAAATATTTAAGAATTTTAAGTAAGATGTTTATGCACGGAAAATTGTGCTATTATAATTATGAATTATTAAGGCAATTTAATTTTAATTCCTCAAACATAATTTAATAATTTATAAATTTCAATTTATAAATTTAAATAATTGCTTCTTAACATCACTTTTTTTTATATTTTTGAAATTTCAAATTTCAAACAAAGTTCAATACAGATTTTATTTAAGCTCAGGAACAAATTAATAATTTTTTAAATTTTAAATTTTTTTTTAAATTGAATTTCTTGTTCAACATTCTTAAGTAAGCAATTTAATTCTTTAGATGATCAAACAAAATTAAAAATTAAAACATTTAAATTAATTGGAACTTTGAAGAAAAATAATGAAAATGAAGGAATATGAATGAAAAAAAATTATATGAGTACATAACGAAATTACAAAAAAAGTGTACAAATTTTTAATGAATACACACACGTATAACAAAAAACAATTAATTAAGTGTTATAAAATTTTATACCGTTTTCCTTTCTTTAGTAATGTTGTTCTTTTCTAAATAGATTGCTTTTTAATTCTCAGCATTGCTTAAAGTGTTTATCGAAGACGTGACGAAACATTTATTTTTAAAACTATTTTACAAATCACGTTATACAAATGAATATATTGTTCTACACGGAATTATATTATAACTTTTTAGTTTATAATTTATTCCATTTATTTTGCCGAAAAATAGTATTCGTTCGATTTTTGTGAATTTTATGTGTTTAATTTTAATTTATTTTAATATTTTAAATATATTTTAATTAATATTTTTGTAATGTAATAAAAGTAAACCAATTATAATTTGAAAATAAAAAAGTCTTAGTTCACAAAATTAATATAAAAAAATATCTTTTAAAAATGCAAATCGCTTTGAGATAAATACGCTGAACACGTTATTTTTTTAAATATACTCGTATATTAGAACATTTAAATTTAACCAAACAATGAAAATGTAAATTAATTAATTTTTGAAAATTTTTCAAATTCATTTGATAACTTTTTTATTTGCCATTCTTTGCTCTGTAATGCTTAAAGTTTTTGACGCGCAATTTCAAACACACTAGGTAGTATTGATTTCTTTTCAAATATTTTATTTCGTTACAATTTGTAATCCTTTCTGACAATGCTCTGTGTTTCTCGTTTTGTTCCAAGTTTTTTTTCTTAAAAAAGGATAGTGTCACATTAGGAAGATTTCAAATGAATTGCTCTGAAAATTTGCAATAGAAAAATGTTTTTTAAATTGTTTTTTATGGAAAAAATTAAACAGGATTTTTTCATAAAATGCATTTGAATGCTTTTGGTTGTTTGTGTTTAAAGTAAATGTTACGTTAATTTCCAAAGACTAAAATAAAACGCAAATTTATTTATGATTATATATATGGTTGTGAATTCCATTTTAATTTAAATTTCATTGAAGCTTTAATACTATTTTGGCTCAAATTTGCTTTGAACCTAAACTACAATTAAATTAATCGTAAAAACTACAAAAATATTTTTTACTAATGTGAAAGGAAACAGGTAAAGAATTAATTCCTATAAGCTCCTATCCAGTAGGAATTATGTTTTAATACTGAAAACTGGTGTCTCTAACCGAAATACAAAACCTGGTACTTGTTAAAATTATTGATACTTTTTTCTCCATACTCATCATTTTTTTTTTTTTTTTTCCTTTGTTCACTCCTAGAAGGAGCATAGGGCTAGTGCATGATTTCTCATGCACTAGTTTCATAGCGTCATAGGGTTTAACTAGGTAGGTGACTAGCCTGCCATACTCATCATAGTGAGTATTAATATAACTCAGAATGAGTAGAACCATACTTCTTCAAAATTACAGATGGAAAATCCTATTTTATCCGACTTCAACTAAATTATATACATTTCACATGAACATTTATTAAGACTTCAAAGAAGCTTCATAATAACTAATATCTTCGAGGGTATTCACAACCATATTTTAATTAATAACATTTTTTAGCTTAAGCATATTTTATTTATATCTAATATGGTTTTACTAGTATAATACTCATATATTATAACTTAAAAATATATAATTATATATATGTTTCTTATTTATGTAATAACTAATTTTTTAATCCAATTATTTTCCAAGTACACAACAACACTAAGTGTTACTGCATTTTAGTAAAAAAAAAGAAAAAAAAATTTAGCACATCCACATTTTCTAATTAGTACAAAATGTTCATTAATAATTGAAAAACATAACTATATATTTAACAAAAACATGTACATAATCTACAGTAAAACATATTCAATTTAAAAGCAAACACATGTAGTCAATTTAAAAGCAAAAATATTTATTACAAACTATAAATATGTACAATATTTAATTTTTCCTAAGTTATTTATACCTTCAAAACACCAAAAGAGCTGTAACATTAAACAGATTACACTTTAAAATTAAGAAAATCCAACATGCCCCAAAATATTATACAAGCAGAAAAAAATTTATAAGCATCCGTTTAGATACAATTCATTAACGAAAAAAAAAATTCAGGGGATATTAATTAATTATAGAAATTTTGTACTTAATATTACTAACACGAGAAAGAGGATCATCATAGTAAAGATAAAAAATAGAAAAAATCAACTAATAGCAAATAAGTAAAAAAGTTAAAAGTGAATCAGCGGAAAACTTTTCCATAACGATGGAAAAACCAAACCAAAAACAAATTGTAAACCCTTGTTAAAAAACATAATAAAAAAAAATTCAAGATTCACAAAAAAAATGCCATTAATTCTAATAATAATTATTAATTCTAATAAATGCCATTGCACTAATTGATTAGTTTTACAATTTTACGACTATTTCAAATTGAATTTACTCAAAACACAGTTTCCTGACTTAATGCTTTCTGCTTTTTAACCGACGTTATCATCTTTTTCTTAAATTCCTGAATCTTACACACTCTTTTACTTTTATACTCTTATATATATAATAAATTGTTCCGTTATATACAGGAAAATAAAATTTTTGTGTTCTAGTTAATCAATTTTGTATCCCTTAATAGTTAACAATAGTATTTCTATGTATCAATATAGGTACTTGTATTTTTATAAGTATATAAAATTGCACGTAGAGATCAGAAAACATAAAAAGCAAATCTTTTAAAAATTAAAGGACAGAAAAAGTTTATATACCTATTGTTTTTTGTTTTCCGATTCCTTTTTAAATTTTAATAAAATTAAATTACATATTTGGAAAAATGTTTTGCCTGTTATTCGGATTACAACATTTGAAACACAAATTTTACTATGTAGTTATGAAAAATAAATTTCAAGTTGAAATTTGCAAAGTTTTGCTTATTTAAAAAAATTCAATTGATGTGGTAAGTAGAAGGTGTTTTAAAATAGAATATTTAAAAATTTAATTTTTAAATTTTGATTATTGAAAACAAACAATTTTGCGTGCCAACAATAGTATAAACCTTTTTTGTATAAAACATTGACGAACTATTAAATTTCGAATTCTCTTTCAGTACACGTATCAAGGTCTAATTAACGTAAAAGATTGTTTTATATCAATTTTTTTAATGAGAATATGCTTTTCTAAATAAATTGTCTCTGAATTCTTTATTTTCTTATACTTATTTGATTTTTTTGTGTTTTTCCTTATATTTTATAATTTCTTTTTAAGAAGATTCAAATAAATTTAAAAGAATATAGCATTACTAATTTACATTTGTATAATTACGTGTAAAGACGTATAAGTATAGAAATCTAACATATAGAATTATAAGAGAACAGACCGACAGCATGGCGTCAAAAGTAACAAAATACGGTTGTTTAATTTTGTGTTTTGTTTTGTCCCCAAGTTATTAGCACTTTTCCAAAAATTTTTTGAAAGAAAGTGCTTATTAGTTTCACTCTGTCCGTCCGTCCGTACAATTTTTATTTACAAAACTTCTACACCCTTGAAGATAAAAAGCTGAAATTTAATACGTACATAGATCTTTACTAGAAACTTTTTTTATTTACAAAACTTCTACACCCTTGAAGATAAAAAGCTGAAATTTAATACGTACATAGATCTTTACTAGAAACTTATTTCCGTAGAACAAAATTTTTACCTATCTCCCCCCCCCCCCCGCCCCCCCCCCCCAAAAAACCTAAAAATGGCAGAAAGGCAGTGGCTTACTTACCCTAGCGCGGTATACTATAGTTAAACTTTAGAAAAACAAAATGGCCGTTCAAATTTACCGGTATCTAAAGTCCTTTTTTTCCAAATTTTTGATGTCGTTTTTCTTCTAGACCCCAGCCTGTAGGAGGTTGGGGGCTTTTATACATTAACAAACAGTTTATTTCGTTAGAAGAAAATTTTTTTCCATCTCCACCCCCCTCTCAAGTTATCGCCTCTTGAAATTTGTAAAATTTGAATTTTTGACACCTTATATTTCCGAAACCGCAAGCTATGCAAATGCAAAAAGCTAACGGTAAATTCCATGACATGAAAAATTATAATTATTTTGCTTAAATCACGCAATTAACCCTTAAAATTGAGCATTATGTTAACCCACTTTATATTAATTTTTGCTTTATTTCAAAGACTGCATATATGCATCATCCTAAATATATGCAATCCTAGAAAAAGTTTTGTATATGAATGCAAATAATTTTAATAGTGTGATAGGTATACTAGACTGTGTTTAAAAGCAGTACTTTCACGTTGAAGGGAAAAGTGCTACAATACAAACCATTGGTTTGATCCAACTTTATTGTTTTATTTTATTCACTTTTTTTAACCTTCCATTTCATACATAGAAACAGGAAAAATTTCAGAAACTTTCTTATATTTTATTCCATTTTATTGTATAACAAACAATAATCGTACCAAATAGCATGAAAAAAAAGGTAAAGAAAACTTTCGTACTTTTTGGGTTCCATGCCGTTTTCTTTATTTTTGCCCTAGTGTGAAGTCTAAAAAATCCAAAAAGAAAAAATTTTCAATTTTTTAATATTCTTCTAAGTTGATTAAGTTTTGACTATTATATTTATTTTAGTTCTTAAAAATTATTCGAAAGTGAAATGAATTCTAAATACTTGTGTTTTTTGTCCTCTTAAAACGATGATTACAAAAAATATTTATTTTCAAAAGGATAATTTAAAATGATTTCAAAAGAACGAAATCTCGAATGACTCTTAATTTACTCAAAATATTACTGTATTATTTTAGGCAGCGTTTACAAATCAAGCAAAATCGTAAGATTTAGTTTGATACAAACTAAATTTGAAACATAAGTATTTATTTTGTAAATATCCAATCCAATTAAATCGTATGAGAAAAATAGAATCTTGTCCTATTTTTCATCGAATCAAATTAAATCGTATGAGAAAATCAGAGTCTTGTTCTATTTTACATCCAATTTTTTGACAGCTGAAGCAAAAAAATAGAATCTCGTCCTTTTTTTTTATCCAATTTTTCATCAGGTGAAACAATTAAAAATGCTGATGTAAAATTTTCGATGTGTTATATAAGTGTGATCAGCTGATTTTAATTTGTTTTTACTGATTTTTAATTACCTATTTACAGAATATTTGAGTTGTCATTTGTCACGGCAATATCAATATTAAATATTTGAAATTTTATGTTTTAGTTTTTCAAAATGTCTATAAGAAAATATAAATTGTGCGGCGACAATTTAATAGAATTTGCTTTGGAATTCGAGAAAAGGGAGTGCCTTTGGAACATAAAAAAATTATAAAAACCTAAATATATAGCAAAAGGCGTATGAAGAGTTATCAAATAAATTCGAGCTGTCCCTGTATGAGGTTAAAAAATATAAATAAGATAAAATACTTTTGTGTTGTGTTTGACAGCTAGTTTCTCTAACAAAAGCACGAGGAAATTTCGCAAGCAAAGTTAAGAGAGCGGCCGTATTTGGGCCGGAGATTAAACATCTCGTCCGGTTCACACTTGGAATTTTTTTTTAAATGAATTAAGAAATTTGAAAAAATCCTTAGATTATTTTTTAAAAACAACAAAAAATGTTAAATCGTCCCATAATAGAGTTCCACTTTTTTTGAATTCCACCTACCTCATAAGTTGTACATTTCGTCGTACAACCAGAATAAACTCAAAAATAAATTTACGATGAAATTTTTTCAACCGCAAGTACAAAGGCAGACAGGCATCTACCCTTCTTTTGCGAAATTTTGTTTCATCAGATACCTTTTATAATAAAATTAAGT